GAGCTGATCTTTGAAATTTTCTGTTCAGCTCTTGGACCTCTTCAATTCTTCCATTTGCTTTAGCTTCTTCTCTACGCTGGAGAGCAAGTTTCACATCTCCTCTGACATCCATTTTGACCTTTTCCTTCTTTCTTGTCTTCTTAATGACTTTTTGCTCTCTTCATGTATGATGTTCTTGATGTCATCCCACAACTCTTCTGGTCTTCGGTCTTTAGTGTTTAATGCATCAAATCTGTTCTTCAGATGATCTCTCAATTCAGGTGGGATATATTCAAGATCATATTTTGGCTCTTGAGGTGCTTCTGGGTATACTGAATGCACCATCCCTTTGGCTGGCAGCAAGTGTGTTAACTGCATCATGCAGCACTCAGGAACTGTTAGAAATTTCACTCTAGCACCATCCACTGCTGTGTGTCAATCCTGATTCATAGTGGCCCTGTTAGACAGAGGACTCCATAGAGTTTCCAAGGCAGACGAACAGATCTTTCTCCTGATGATAAGCTGGTAGGTTTGAACCACTGACCTTCTAGCTGGCAGCTAAGTGCTTTAACCACTGCACCACCAGGGCTCCCTAGTGACTTCCTTACTACTGTCTAAAATTTTCTGGAAAGCTCAGTACTGACATCCTCTGGTTCAGTCTTTTACCACCTTCCCATTTCTTGCCTGAATCTCCAGCATCAAGAAACTATAGGTATGTTATTTCAAGAATGAGAATTATAACCCAATTCTATTACAGACTCCACTCCAAGTGTGACTTATTTTGTAACCTCTCTTTTTTTCCCCTCCCCCAGATTGGTAACATTTCTCTTTAGACCTTACCTTCAGAATACCCAGGGTGGGTGAGAATTTAAGCAACTCCTCTATGACATCATTATAACCTTTATTGGCTGCTTTCAGTAATGCTGTTGTGCCATCCTTAACAGAGAGAGGGAGATAAAAGTTGATCATTAATGTATGTGTGTGCTGACCAAGTGTCAAGTGTTGAAAATAAGGAGCATGTTTACATAAACTGCAGCCCATACCTGCAATGCCTCCTAACCTAGAAGCATTGTAGACCATATTCAGCAACTGATTCTGCAGGAAAGAATATCAGACAAGTATGTGGCTCATTTATTACCTTACAAGTCTGCCATTTAGGAATTCATATGCCTCCAGTCCCTCAGAACACTGGAGAAAGGACCAGGGGGTATTTCAAGAGCATATTTTGAGGGCACTGATGGACCAAAGAGGCATTCTAAGTTGATCAGGTATTGAACTACCTTTCGTAATTTACATTAATATCAAACTGAATTTATTCTTTTAAAAAAACTCAGCATGCCTTTTCTTTTTGCCTTCCTTTGATACAACCTGGCCCTAGTCTACCCTAGGTATCTGTTTTTCTTTGTATCTGTTAAGGGGGACAGATTGAAATCTGCTTTAAAGTATGCAAAGACAGATGAAAAAAAAATGAATATTCAACTCTGTTGTCAGATTTTGTCCTAAGATGAGATTTTGCAGACTCCCCTTTCTCCTGCATCTGGAGGTGTTATCTCCTGGCATTCTCCTGCAGGCCAGGCAATACGTAGCCTGTCACTAGGGTTTAGCTGGAATTGGGAAGAAGAAACAAGAGTAGGACCCACAAGAGTGAAGAAGTAGGATGTATCTTCTAGTTCCCTTTTCTGGTCTTAGACTTGGAGGTCAGACACTGAAAACCAAATAGCAGAATCTGGCCCGGCAGAAGGCTCTCCCCAAGCTGCCCTTAGTCCCTGGCCCCAAACAACAGACCCTGTACTGCTCAGCTGCAGACCGTGGGTCTCCCAATCCCCCCACCAAGCCTGAAGCTAAGACTCCTCACCCCCAACTTGTTCAGGAGCCACCCAGGTGCAGGAGGGTCTTTGAGGGCTGAGCAGCACTTGCTAAAAATACTGGGTCACCCCAAGTTTTAAAACTGAATTGGACATTTGGTTCCCTACTAAACACCAGGTGGAAGCTGGGAGTAAACCCAGCTGAGTTATAGATAAAATAGGGACACACTTATTGTTGTTAAGTGACATCCAATCGGTGGATGTCATCACTTCTGACTAACAGTGACCCTGAATAGGGTTTCCAAGGCTACAGATTTTTGCGGGAGCAGCCAGCCTCCTTTTTCTCCCTTGGAGCCACTGGTAGGCTCACACCGCCAACCTTGTGGTTCACAGTCCAGTGCTCATCCTTGTTGTTGGTTGTTGTTTTAGTGACATCAAGTCAGTTCTGACTCATAGTGACCCTGGATAAGGTTGCCAAGGAGCAGCTGGTGAGTTTGAACCACCGACCTCATGGTTCAATCTGACCTTGCGGTCCAGTGCTTTATCCCACAGCAATCCTTGGCTGAGTTAAATTCTGGAGCTTCCTTATATGCATTTTCAGCTCTGAGCCCACATGTTGAACCACTTCCATTCAGAAACTCACATTCCGGGCTGCATCCCGCTCAGCTCCACGCAACAGCATCACCCTCACCACCTCACTGTGGCCCATCTGCGATGCAATCCACAGTGGCGCTGTTCCATCCTGGGGGCAGAAACCAGGGTGGCCCACTGTGACATGGAGGTTTGGACCCACCAACTCCTACAGAATTTCTTAACACCAAGTTTCTGAAATTTAAAACCTGGGGAAAGGACCCCAAACAACAAATCACACACTTTCCAGGTACTTCAGATACAAGTGGTACCGATAAAAGAAGAGGGTGTTCACTGCTCTATAGCACCACCTAGCATCGAGGGGACTCTGCCTCACGTGGCCCCACGGATGTTAGAGTAAAACTGTGCTCCACAGAGTTTTCAACAGTTGATTTTTCAGACATAGACTGCCAGACCTTTCTTACGAGGCATCTCTGGGTGAACTCAAACCAGTTAGCAGTCAAGCACATAAACTGTGTACACCACTTAGGGGCTCTCACCAATCTATACAGCCTGGTATTTATTTGGTATTGCTGGGGCTATTTAAGTGATGTCAAGATTCAGCTTTTGGCTTAAAGAAAACAGCCATTTTAGGATAGACCCATTATCACACAGTGTTTTACAGGATGGTGTTATATGGGGTCCCATATTTTTGTCTAGTTTCTTTACTTAGCTGGTGGGCCGCAGTCCTGTTACCGTTCACACAACAACACACCCAGTTTAGCGGAGGCCATTATGTGGAGTGGGCAGCTTTCTTTGAGGTGGGTCAGAGACTAACGGCATACCTGCCTTTGCGGTGTCCAGAATTCTCTACATCTACACCAATTCTTAGGGACTTGGTATTCATTTTATGTGGCATGTGATGCCTTACCATCAGAGAGGTGATTTTATTAGATGGCTTCAGCAGGATGACATTTTTGGCAATATTTTGAGTCTTATCCCCCACAGCTCTTTCTTTTGTCACTGAGCCACGAGGCTGAGAAGAAAGTGTAGAACAACCAAGAGACAGAGAAGGATCCAAGTGTCAGATGGCTTCCGCCTGACAGAGTGGAAGATGGGAAGTCCTTCTAGAGTGCTGGTGGAGAGCGAGTGCCCATGCCTGCCTCACCCTCTGGGTTGAATATGGGAAGAGGAAAGTACGCGTGGGGTGGCCGAAATACCCAGAAAAATAATGGGGAACTCCAGATAGCAAAGGGTTTTCTCCCCTACTTGAGATGAAGGCCAGAAAAATGGCAAGCCCCATGGTGCCTAAGAAAGAGAATAGAAATACTTTGGGAGTTGTTTGGACCTGAGACCGAACCCAAGTCCCCATGACCCATATCACTTGGCCTCTGGGCATCCAAGCATCCTACCTGCCTGTGGACAATCACAGGTGTTGAAGGAAACAGTAGCCTACAGTAAGCCTGGGGTTGGGAAGAGAAGATCACCGAGGGTAGTGACTTCAGGCTCAGAGAGAGGATAATAGGGTCAGCATGATGGTTGGACCAGGTACGTCTCTGTGGTACCAGTGGAAGTTGTCTGGGGACTGGAGAGTCAGCACAAGGACCAGCCATATGTCTCCTCACCCCATCTCAGTGCCAGAGTGAGAGCCTGAGAACACAAATAACTTTAGAGAATGTGTAGGAAGAGGGAGAAAAATCCAGAGAATGTGTAGGATGAGGGAGAAAAACCCAGAACTGGCTAAGCTTAATCTCTGAGCTAATGAGGGTGCCATTCCCAAGTAATTACTGTTGCCAAAGAAGGCTGAATTACCCATCTGTGGTACCCTACAGGGGCTGAAGGCAGGATGACTCAGTTAGGGAATATAAAGTTACAGTTCTGCTGCAAAGCTGTAATTTCATTGCCTCTCTATTAACCACAGCAGACATAAGGGTATTACTCACTGCTGTCCTGACTCAGGGCAGAGGAGGATGGCATTGAAGTGGGTAGAGGATTCTGGGCCCTGGGATCAGATGAATTTCAGTAACATACAATGCTACAACAAGGATGTGGGCAAAGATATGGGGGAGTTGTGGGGTTAGCTTCCCAGGTCGGGTGGTATCTGAGCTGGGCTTCTGTCAAGTGCCCCACTGGTAGAAGGATGAGAACGACCACTCATTGTGCCCTAGACGGGCTCATTCAGAAAGGACGGGGAATTCTGGTGGCTGAAGCAAAGGGGTGGAGTGGGGTCCGAGAATATGAGAGGGAGTCTGGGCTCCAGAAAGTCCTAAAGAAGTGAAGGGTTTTCCAGAAATGACCACTTCTCCCTGCTCTCTTGCTCTGGGTTCATTTTTTGTTAGTATCACCACCAGAGGGCAGGCAGGGAATTAGGCAGCCCAAGGCAGCCATGCAGCCGGGCACCCTTGCTCCTGGTGCTACTAAAAACCTGGCTGTTACTAATAAGATTATATTGAGTGACATTAATATGTGTCAAAGTGCTGGAGAGGTTCCTTGTGGGGAACAATTATTTATATTACTAATTCACTGGAATAATATGATGAGAGGGCTTCAAAGAGTTCATTCATTATTTTTCAATTCCTTTCCACCAACTTTTTGAAGCCTTCATATACTACTCAACTATTTACCATCTTAATTGGAATTGTCAGGTGGAGAAAGTAATCACTATTTCCTGACTGTGACCCCAAGAAAATTGCCCTGAAATTCATTTCCCTCTTCTTCAAAAATATTAGCCTCACACAGATAGTATGGAATGAGAAGAAATATATCAAAGTGCTGAGCACAAGTACTGGCTGGTATTAAGATACCCAGAAAATGCTGGAGTCCCACGGTAGTACATACGGTTAAAGTGCTTGGCTGCTAACCAAAAGTCTGGAGGTTAGAGCCTCCCCAGAAATGCCTCAGAAGAAACACCTGGTGATTCACTTCCAAAATATTCATCATTATGAAGCAGACACACATGGGATCACCATCACCATGGTGGTAAAAAAATTTTAGTTGTGTCTGATCATTACTTACAATGAAACAATAAATAACACCCTAATTTGTACTTTTAATTTACAAAGTACTTTCAAAGACTTTATTTGATTTGATTCTCCCAATTACTCAGTGAAATAATTGATTATTGAGCAGGTAGGAACTACAGGGTAAAATGAACTGGTTTTTGAATCCAGGGAATTTAAAGTGTAACTATGAGGCAGCTTCAAAAAACTATGGAAGAGTTCTAGTATCTCTTTTTAATTGTGAATTGAGTGATAGTTTACATGGGAGACATCAGTTCTACACCATCGTTTGTTTCATTGCAATGGTTACAATCTCCTCCGTGCATCATTCAACAGTATTTACTTCTATTTTTTTTTGGAGGGGGGGAGTGCAAAAACACTCAAGAATATTAATAATTTAAACAACCAAAGGGCACATTCTGCAAGCCTACTTCCTGACTGCCCACACTCAGTCTTTCTCTTCCATGAGTCAAGAGTCCTCAGTTGCTCTCTCTCTCCATGTCCTCATCTCTGCCTCCATCTCTGCTGTCACTGCTTCTCTGGATAGGGTCCGGCATTCCACTTGTACTCTTCTCCCTTGATAGTCCTAGGGTCCTCTGTCTCTGGACTGTAAGATTAACTACTCCCCCGTTTTTGTTACAAAACTTCTACCTTTACAGTTGTGACAGTTGCAATTAGTCACGGTAATAATTACTAACAATTGAATCATAAGAATCTTATCCCCATCTCTTTCCATTAGACGAATTCTATTATCTTTTAATTCCACTTTGCTACGGACTTTCTGAAACCCCCTTGTATTGCTGCTGTACGATCATATGTGTCAATTATCTAGTTTGTGAAAAGAAGAAGTTTCCCTTTGAATACTGCTCAGCATTGGTTTTCTCTGATTTTTCCTTCATGATGATGAAGGATTCCTCAGGCAGTGCAAACAGTGAAGCCCTCGAATACTAGCTGAAAGGTTGACAGTTGGAACCCATCCAGAGGCGCCTCAGAAGACAGACCTAGGAATTTGCTTCTGAAATGTCACAGGTTTTCTAGTGGACACACAATGGTCACCGTGAGTAGGAATCAAGCTGATAACAGACATCAGGATGGTCAGAGTCTTCATCCTGAAGATGACTTTGTGCTGACAAGGAAGGAATTTAAGTCAAGCTAGCTCCTTTCCATAGGGCTTTGGAGAGAATCGAAAGGGAACCAAGTAGATTTACAAATACTCAAATAATTTTTGACAAAAATATATAGTGTAGAGAGCAATCTGCAAGAAAAGGGAGGGTGGCAGAAGAATAATGAAGACAGGTGAAGACACAGGTGTGCATGTGTGGAAGAAAGAAGAGTGATGAGAACTGAAGAGACTTGGGATCAATTAGTCCAATGGACCAAGTGAACATAAATCACCATGACTCTGAGAGCAGAGGAACTAGATGGTGCCTGGCTACCACTATCAACTGCTCTGAAAGGGATCATGTTAGAAGGTCCCAAATAGAATGGCAGGAAATGTGGAACAAAACTCAAAAAAAAATTTTATTAAAAGAAGACCAAGCTTACTGGTCAGAAAGACACTAGAGGAACCTGAGATAATGGCCCTTGACCACCCTTCAGGGCTGGAAAGGAACTCAACCTTGTGGCTCAATTTTCAGTCAAGTAGACAGGTCTATAGGGGGTACACCAATACTAAGAAGGTTTGCTCACCATGGAATGGTCAATCATTCAATATCAATAGGGAGACACTTTCCTAAGGATAAAGTTGAGAGGAGATGGGAATAGGAACCACAGGAAGGAAGTAGAGTGCCTGAAGTGTAACTCATAGCAACCTCTGAGGAGCTGCTGGTGAGTCTGAATCATCAAACTTGTGGGTAGCAGTCCATTGCTGACGTATAGCAACCCTATCAAGGTTACCGAGCCTGCAAATCTTTATAGGAGCAGACAGCCTCATCTTTCTTTGGAGAGGTAGCTGGTGGGTTTGAACCACCTATCTTTTAACGGCTCAATGCTTAACCCACAGTGCCATCAGGGCTTCTTGGTATATGATAAGTGCTCAGAGAATATTGTTAAAATGTTGAATAATATAAGAAAATTGGAAGCTAGATGAGGTCCTCTGGATCACCTTGCCCAGCTTCCTAATTTCCAGATGAAGAAACAAAGGTCCTGAGAGGTTAATTTATTTGTTCAAAACCACACAGCTAGTTACTAGTAGAACTGGATCTAGAACTCAGGATTCCTGATCTTAAATCTACTCTGCCCAAAGGATCTTTAATTTCCTGAACCATTTGGGCTTTTAAAGACTGAAAAGCCTAAGCTCTGATCAATTTTAAGCTTCCCATAGCTACTCATTATATGAATGGGCCAGCGTTCCAATATATCTCCATATATGTCATATTAGAGTGGAAATGTGCTTGGGTGTCATTTACCGTAAGAAATCAGCTCAACTTTCCCCTAGAAAACTCATTTTATAATGGTGTGGTGGTGGTGTGCTGTGGAGTCGATTCTGACTCATAGTGACCCTGCATAGGGTTTCTGAGGCTGTAAATCTTTACAGGAGCAGAAAGCCTCATCTTTCTCCCACAAAACAGCTGGTAGTTTCAAACTGCCAACCTCAAGGTTAGCAGACTGACACATACCACTATGCTACCAGACTTCCTTCATTTTATAATAATGTTACCTTAATCTGAAATGTTTTGCTATAAAGAAATTAGTTATGGAAAAAATACTTATCTAACAGAATCTAATTATAATGCCAAAATTTTGCTTGGCTATTACCTAAAAGGTTGGAGGTTAAAGTCCACCCAGGGACACCTTGAAACACTTCTAAAAAACCAGCCATTTGAAGCACTGTTCCGCTGTGACACACAGGGGTCACTGTGAGTTGGAATTGCCTTTAAAGCAACTGGTATAATTATAACTGATCGTTCTAATTCCTTACATGTGGCTGATTCCTAACCTCTTATAAAATACTGCCTATGTTATTTTAAGAGAGTTCTGGTAGCGTAGTGGTTATGAATCGGGCTATCGACCGCAAGGTCAGCAGTTCAAAACTACCAGCCGTTCTGCAGGAGAAAGATGAGGCTTTCTGCTCCCATAAAGATTTACAGCCTCGTAAACCCTGTACAGGGTCACTATGAGTCGGAACTGACTCCACGGCACTTAACAACAACACTGTTTTATGGACTCCTGATGTGGTGCTATAGCATCAACACTGGACTGCAAATCACAAGGTTGGCAGTTCAAACCCACCAGCGGCTTTGGGAAATCCTATACAGGATCACTATGAATCCAAACTGATTCAAAGGCACGTAACAACAACAATGTATTATCCTATGTCCCTTTAAACATAATTTAATTAATTTGTTAGATGTGATCTTGGTTATGGCAAATGAAATCTAAGTGTAATGTTCTAATTGTGAAAGATGAAGTCACAAAACCTCCCAGTGATTTCAGTGACACAGGTTTCTCTTTGACCTGGTGGAGAGGTGGTGGGTAAGAGATAAGGCAGTGCGTGTATCAGCAAAAGGACTGCGCAAGGCCAAGGCTACTCAACTGCCTCTTTTGACCTCTGTCCCAGGCTAGCTTGCTCTCCTTACTTCAGTGCAGTCATACTTTATTTGAACAGGAGGTGGCAGATTGTGGACATGACCTGAGACACTAAACAACTGGTGACATCAGATTGATTTCATAGGCTTTCAGGTAAGCCTAAGGCAAAGAGCAGGGGAAATCCTAACCAAAGGTTAACTTGTCATCACAGAAGCTAAAGGGTTGCTGACAGATTAACCCAGGTGTGTGTAGCTACGGGACATTGGGCCCTCCCTGCATCACTGTTCTGTGTACTCAGGCAAATGTCAGCGATGGGCATTACCTGCCTTGGCTGGTTGACTTTTGCTCCTGAAGACAAGAGTAATCGAATGACATCCAAGTAACCACCTTGGGCAGCCAGGAAGAGGGCAGTGGCTCCATCCTAAGAGATAACAAATTACAAGTAGTGAAAAAAACTCTCATGCTTATTTGAAAAGAAATTAGATTTGAAAAAAAAAATGTTTATTACAATTTTCCTCTTCTTGGGTCAGAATCAACTCGATGGCACTTAACAACAACAACAACATCCCCATTTAGATTTCCATGTTTTTATTAAGAGCTCAGTGTAAGCTGGAGTTCTGGTATGATGCTGGAGGATAAGCGCTGGACTCTACAAACAACCACAAGGTATGCAGTTCAAACCCACCAGTCACTCCCCAGAAACCCTATACAGGGTCACTATGCCTCGGAAACAACCCGATGGCACTTACAAACAACAACAAAAAAATCCCCAAAATGTCTTGCTTTTATGGAGGAGTGAAAAGTGTCCTTTCCGTTAGATCTTTCTTACCTCTTTGTCTTTTGTGTCTCCTTAGCCACGTCATGGATACAAGACGCTTTCATGGTCCTAGCGCTAACGGGACATGTGAACATCAGTCTCTATGACTCTGAGACCAGAAGAACTAGATGGCGACTTGCTACTACTACCTACTGCTCTGATAAGGATCACATTAGAAGGTGCTAGGGAGAGTGGCAGAAAATATAGACCAAAGCTCAGAAATATAAAATAAGACTAGGCTTACTGGTTAGAAACAGACTGGAGGAACCTGAAATTATGGCCCTCAACCACCCTTCACATCTGGATAGGAACTCGCACTTGTGGCCCAATTTTTAGTCAAGCAGTAGATAGGTATACAGAGGGGACAACAACGCTAGTGAAGTACAGCTCACTATGGAATGGTCAATCATTCAAAATCAAAAGGGCAACAGTTACCGAAGGACAAACTGAGAAGGAGTGGGAAGGAGGGTGGAATGGAAATAGGAACCAGAGGGAAGAAGCAGGATAGCTGTTATTGCATGGAGGGGATCACAATAATCGAGATGAAACTAAGTGTATGATTTGTTGAATGTAAAACTGATGATTTTGTCTATAAACTTTTAATCAATACACAAGAAAACATTAAAAAAAAACAAAAAAAGGTTCTAGTAAGAACTTCATCAGGTTGCTCCCTGCCAGCCCAGAAGACACAAGGAAGCTCAAAGCAAATGTTTGTTTTTAATCTTCTTTGCTTTTCTTTTTAACTGGGGCGTTTATGTCTTCTGGGCATTTCTGTTTTCTTGAAGTGTCACTAGCTAATTTCAGCAAATTCATCGGTAGTGGATGGCATGCTATCTCCCCAGATGCTCCCTCACACTGACAGCATTCACAGTACATGGTGAGCTTCATTTGTACATCACAGTGGAAAACCCAAGCGCACCCTAGTGGAAAACACCTAGGTAAACCGGCTAATGATCAAGGTTCTCATCAGGAATGTTAACCACAGTTAAAACACAAGACACTCGTCCCTGCAAATCCGACCAGGTGTAGCGTGTGGAGGGTCCTGGGTTTTCAGTGGGTATCGGCGAGCTGCCAGACTCCCCTCAAGGAAATCATAAAAAAATTAATCAACCTGTACAGATCATTTAATCAGATACTTGATATGGGAATAAAAATGTCAGCTGCATCCTAATGTGCTACTAAAGAAGGTCTATCATGTCCTCAGCAGCTGATAACTCTCAGGAATTTTCTAGAATGCATTACCCAGACATTAGACTTTTCTTTGTGCGTTTTTAGTTTCAGTTCCTAGAAGTTTCCAAGAACCATTGAACATTTTTTCCTCTATATTTCAATTGTTCTTAATGGAAACTTTTGGACTGTTTGGGTAAGGGTAAAGGTCTTAGTGCACAATGGAAGTTATAGGACATGAAACTTTCTTGAGTCACCTTATAACCTAGAGGAATTTATTACAGAAATGGGATTTCCCAAAACTCTCTAGCTTTATGTGCCAGTCTTATGTAAGAATATTTATTATCTAAGAAGTACAAATTCAATACCCACAATCACTTCGGGTTGATTAATATTAATGGTTGTTAAATGCCTTCAAATTGGTTCTAACCCCTTAGTGGCCCTGAATCGGGTCTCCGAGGAGCTGCTGGTTTGTTTGAACTGCTGACCTTCCAGTCCAGTACTTATCCTACAGTGCCATAGCAGGACTCCATTATTAATGGTAATGCTATGAAAACACAACTCTCTTGCCTTCCCTAAAGACTTGGCTCTTCTTAGTCAGCCTGTGTTTATAAATTCTCAGACACAATTTCAGATACGTTTTACCTAGAGCTAAAGAATATCCAAAGTTGTGACCTGTGATTCTTAGATCTGGTCACATGTGAGAATCATCTGTTGCCTAAGTTTGCTCCTTAGAGATTCTGTGTTCATTGGTCTTACCAGGTCCAGGAATTGGTATTTTTAAAACTTCCCAAGTGATGGGTAGTCAGATTTGAGAATCACTCTTTTAGAGCATTATCAAGTAATTCAGTCATTCATTAGTAATAGCTACAGCCTCAAAGAGTGTTATAGATTTTGAAGTACAAAGGGTAAGACTAGTTGCTTGGGTACTTCAAAGAGGCCCGTGACTTGTCAGATTACCCATATAAACTCTACAAAGGTTGCTCAAATGGAAAAGTTCACACCTACGCATTTCATTACTTGTCTATGAAAGTATGGTGCCCTGGGGCACAAAGACTACGTCTCTAGTTGTAGGATAGCCTCAAATATGGTGTAGAGATCATAGAAAGTAGATATTTTTCCACTCTATGCCATGAGACACTGTCAAGTCCCTTCCTTTACATATATATATATATATCCCCCCATGCAAACAGGGATACCCACAGAATTACAGTGGCAAACAATTAAAAGCACCCTTGGGTTATGTGCTAATTGCCAATTAGCTGCAAACAGATCTGTGGGTAATTGATGTCTGTTGAAGGTCAGAGGTGAGCTGGGTTTGACAAGCCCTCCCTCACTCAGTCTCCCTTCTCTTCTTTCTAAACAGCCTTGTGATCTCTTCTCTGTGGTCTTCTTCACAAATGAACGCTACAGCAGAAGATTTCTTTGGGTTTTCAGCAAGTCCATACACTGGGCTGTGTGGTTTGATATGGTATGGCTATATATGTATCTGATGAGTTTTGAAGACTGTAATTGTATAAGTGTATGAAATGTCTCATTTGTATAACAAAGACATTTAAAGGGATTAAAAAGACAGACCAGAGACTGGTGAATAAGATTATATGGATTTTAAATACAAAAACTTCATCTGGTCAATTGTATCTTTTGGTTTTTTTAACTGTCTCATTAAACTGTTTTTTACAGTTGGCATTTGGGGCACAAACCACATCAGCGGGCTTAGTTCAGTTCCCTGGTGTTACCCGTGATGAGGGAAGTATTGAGTGTCACCTGATGCCCCCTTGGAGAAACACTCACATAAAGTTGGTCATGGATGTTGGCTCCATGTTTCAGCAGCGTCTCCACCACCTGCATGTGCCCATACTGACTGGCGGCCAGCAGGGCGGTGCCCCCATCCTGTCAACATGGAAAATAAAATAGACACATATTAGAAACTGAGGATGCAAACGTGTCAAGCAAATACTCTTCAAAGAGCAAGGAATTTCCCCATAGAAAATAACAAGCTCATTTTTCTCTTTGATTCTTTTACTTTGTAATCATGACACAGTTCATCTTAAGACATCATTATGGTATATACACTTAGATGTCTTGCTAGAGTTACAGTACAATTATTTGACTTAGTTATTATGACTGATTAAAAATTTACCATGCATTTTCAAATGCAGAAACATCTATTTGTCTTTTTAATAAGAAAATCAAAGAACCGAAAATCTGTACCAATGAGTTCCATCTTGGAATGACCAGAATAGCATCCTATGGCTTCTGGTCATAGACACTCTTGACAAATGTGGGCTTTTCCCTGCAGGTCTGCCCAGCTGTAGGTCACTGATATGAGAGTATTTTAATGAGGAAGACCTCTGGGCCATGGATTTAAGGGTAATATCTACATCTACTAAAAGCATGGATAAATACAGCACATTCCATGTACCTCTCACCACCCTACTTAGCATTTGTCTCTGAACATGTGCCAATTTGTCTGGGGCTCTTTTAAAGTGTGGGTCTAGCTACTAAACTCAGTCTGTAAAATAGATGTGGTCTGATGTGGGATGAGACTTTACTTTGCTCCATCTACTCTACTTTTATGTGGTATAAGTCAAAATTAGCTTTTATGTCAACCACATCACATTACTGAGCCATTGAGTTTGTGGTCAACTAAAAGCCTTAATGGCTTTCCTCAGGTGCTGTAGACAAGACATTATCTTTTCCCATCTAGGATTGGTGAGTTGCTGGTTTGGCTCTGTAAATTTGTATGTGGATATCTGAGTTAATGATAAATAACAGAAGAACATATTATCTGATTCTAAGATACAAATCATACAAGGGGTCTTCAATAAGTTTGTGGAATAATGTCTCAGAGACAACAGACAATTTCATCTCACACAAGGAAATAAGAGTGTTTAAAACAAATGACCAAAATGTAGAGCCAGAAACTATTTCTGAGGAAGAAAAGGTATTGGAACTACCTGATAAACAATTCAAAAGAATGATACTTAGGTACCTTAAATTGATTGATAGAACAATAATAAAACTGCAGATAAAAGCAAAGAGAACACAGAAAAACAACCTACAAACTTAGCTACAAAGGAGAACCATTAAGACTAAGCTCTGATTTCTCACCAGTAACCATACAGGCAAGACAGCAAATGGAATGACATATAAAACTCTGAAGGAAAAAAAACAATGCTGCCAATCAAGAATTCTACACCTAGCAAAATTGCCTCTCAAATACAATAGTGAAATTAGGACTCTGCCAGATGAATAGAAATTAAAGTGTAAAACCAGACCAACTTTAAAAAAAATACTAAACAGAGTTCTTTGGACCAACAACAGGCAATAACCTGAGATTACAATATAAGACACACCACTCAGAGTTAACCCAGATTCGTTCTTCTTATTGTTGTTGTCAGATGCTGTTAAGTCAGTTCTGACTCACAGTGATCCAATGCACAACAGAACGAAAAACTGCCTGGTCCTGTGCCATCCTCACAATTGTCACATTTGAGCTCACTGCTGCTGTCACTGTATCAAACCACCTCATTGAGGGTCCTCTTCTTTTTCTATCCCTTCACTTTAGCAAGCTACCACAGATTTGTTGTTGTTATTGTTGCTAAGAGCCACTGAGTCAATTCTGACTCATAGCAACTCTGTATAGGGTTTCTGAGGAGTGACTGGTGGATCTGAAGCACTGCACTTGGGTTAACAGTCCAGTGCTTATACTACATGGCCATACCAGTATTCCAACCCAGATATAGAAGTATCCAAAGTAAAACAAATCTATAAGACTAAAAATAGGCAACCAGAGATATTAACTCTAATGAAGACAACTACAAAGCAAAAAGAAGGAATAGTGTAATTACAGAACTTCCAAATGATGAATTTTTTCCTAAATAGAACAGTTTTAAACTTGGTAACAATTAATAAAATACAGGGTAACCTAAAAAAATGAAATGAATAAATATTCTGATCAAAATTTAAAAAAGAGGAAAATCATAAAGATTTAGTAAACATGAAAATAGCAGCAATGAGGAAAGAGACCACTATTTTTTAAAGTTAAGAAAAGGTTTTCACACTAAAAGAAGTATTCATGATGGTTACCAGGGATGGGAGGGTATGGGGAGTAACTCACTGGGTAGAGGGGAGACATGATAACTTGGGTGAAGGGGAAGACAATATATAACAAAAAGGTTGACAGAAGAATAATGACAACATGGGAAAATAGGAGGATCGCTAAAGTCAAAGGCAACAGAGGTAAATACTTACATGTAAACAATCTTTCAGTATTGGTGACTTATGGGTAGACATACAGGCTGAATGAGTGTGGGAGGAACAGTGGCATATACCCACAAGTATATAAAAGTTTGAAAGAGAATATTTGTATATGAACATTTACCTTTGCTGCAAGCATATTTATGAAGGGGGCAAAACAGGAAAACTTCATTGCCAAATACCTTGAGGGAATGGTGTGCTAAGCTTGGGGGGCTCAGGACCATAGTCTAAGGGAACACCATGATCAATAGGCATAACAGCTCACAAAGACATCCTACTTTGCTGAATAGTTACATAGGGCTTAAAAGCTCATGAGTGGTCAATCTAAGGCACAACTATTGGTCTGTCCTGGAGAAAAAAAGAGTGACAAAAATGGAATTTGCTTGGAAACAATTAGTCTGAAGAACTAATGGACTACATGAACATTAATCTCCACGAACCTGCAAGCAAAACTGTATGGTCCCTGACTACCATTCCAACTACTCCGAAAAGGATCACAATAGAAGATTCTGAATAAAGTGGTAGAAAATGTGGAACAAAACTCTTAAGTATAAAGAAGACCAGAATTACTGGTCAGATAGAGACTGGAGGAACGTGAGACCATGGCCTTTGACTTCCTTTAGGTCTGGAACTGAATGCACCTCATGGTTCAATTTTCAGCCAAGAAGTAGATTGGTATATGGAGGGGGACAACAACACTAGTGACATACACACCAGAGAATGGCCAACCATTCAGGATCAAAGGGCAACATTTACCCAAGGACAAAATTCAGAAGGGTATGGAAAGGAGGAGGAATGGAAACAAGAAACACTGGAGGAAAAGCAAGAAATGTTGTTATTACACTGGGGGGATTGCAATCATTGAGATGAAATGAAGTGTAGGATTTGTTGAATGTAAAACTGATGATCTTCGCTGCAAACCTTCACTCAATTCACAATAAAAAATTTATTTTTAAAGTTTTATGGGGGGGGAAAGAAAGGAATAGACAGAAATATCACCATAGAAAGCTTGTAAGTCTATCTTCTGCCTATAACTGATTGGAATACCTAAAATGGGGCTACAACATGCC